AGTTTTCACATACTGGGCAGCTGAGATATTTATGCAGTTATTCATTTGCCTTCCTCATCCCACAGCCTGAGAACCCTCTGCTCGGCTCCAATTCCTTCTGCCTACAATTCTGAAACCATCACCGAATTTAGCATTGCAGACTCCTGGGGAGATAAGCAGGATTGTCCTCGGCTGTACAGATAAGAAAGCAGAAGCACAGAGTGACTAAAGGATTTGCCCAAAGTCACACAAAAAAAGCCCTGTCACAGCAGGAAAACAAATCTTAGGTCACATCATCCTCAGGCCTCTGGATCATCAAAATTAAACTGCTCAGCCAAGTGTTTTTGCATCTCAAGATGGGTTTGGTGCTGGGACAAGTGGTCAGAGAGGTTCTGCACAGGATACTCGGGGACATTCAGTTTCTCAGATTTCAGCTTGGGCTTCTTTGGGAAATCCTTTACAGAAGGGACCAGTGACTTGGAGACCTCTGCTTTAGGGGACACCCCTAAAGGCTCTCTGTATGTCTCAGCACCTTTTCACTGATATTCAATCCCTCCAGAACGGAGAGGGAACTGTGGAATAACACCAGACATCCAAGTCTCTGGGCCCTGCAGGGAAATCCAGGAGTAGGCAGGAATTAAACGAATTAAAGGAATTAAAAACTAGAGCTTTGGTGACCAAAAGAAAGCGGTTAGAATGCTCTGAAGTCAGCATCCCCGTGAGATATTGTCCCTCCTGCCAGGTGACTTCCCAGCAGCTCTCCCCAAGCCCTAAGGAGCTGCTGTCTCCTCTCTACCAGAACCACCCAGAGAGGAATGAGGCGACCTGACAAATACACGGCACTTCCCTGCTATCTTCGCTAAATCTCTTGCATTTTTATATGGCACCTTAATAACCCCTCATTTCCATTACAAGTGCATGCTTTCCTCCTGCTTATCTCCATCTCCATCCACTCCTTCTCCATTCCTGCAGCCCCGCCGCCTGCGGCTGCATCCCGGGCAGGGTCAGGGATGCCTGGTAGGGGCAGGACAGTGCCGTGGCTCTGGAGGTGGCAGGACGTGATTCACACCGTGGCAAAGCTCCATCTGCGTCAATATTGAACCCGGTGCCTTAAGTTAGGGCTAGGAGATGTTAAACCCGGTGCCCTAATTTCGTGGAGTCATTAAGAGATCGGCTGCGACTTTCTCAAGAGGCAAACTCCTCACCTCAGTGCCCCGGGGCCAGATCTCAGCTCCTTTTCCCTGCCTGCCTGCATTCCCTAGGTAGTTACGATCAGATAGAACGCGATTTGCTTCCTGTTGTGTGCTCTTAAGTGGTGGCTGCATTTCAAAAGCAGGGGAGTGATTATGTCCTATCCAGGCTGTAAAAGGCGCTGAGCGCTTTCTGGGAAGAGAGGAGCTCGCTGTAATTGCTGCTTCTTAAGGAAAATCCCATCAATACCCTCCTGGCTTTCAGCAAGGGCTAAAAACTGTGGAGAGTTTAGGTGATGGGCCTGAGATTTAGGGTTTGGTGTCTACAGCCAAAGCTGTCTGCCTGGAACTGCTTGTTCCCAGTCCTGGCAAACACAGGAATTCTCCAGGCTGTGCAGCCTGAAGCTCCCTGGGGTTTGGTGAGCTCTGCACCTGGACAGAATCATTGGATCGAGGGATCCTTAAGGTTGGAAAAGACCAACAAGGTGACTGAGCCCAAACATGACCCCAGCACTGCCAGATCCACTGGTATCCCATGTTCCTAAGTGCCATATCCTTTTAAATCCCTCCAGGTGGTTCCAACACTGCCCTGGGCAGTGCCTGTGCCTGACAACCCCTTCAGTGAAGAAAATTTCCCTAGTATCCACCCTAAGTATCCAAATTTCCCTAATATCCAATCCTTGACAGAACTTGAGGCCGTTCCCTCTCCTCCTGTCCCTGTTCCCTGGGAGCAGAGCCCGACCCTCCTGGCTGTCCCCTCCTGGCAGGGAGTTGTGCAGAGCCAGAAATTCCCCCTGAGCCTCCTTTTCTCCAGGCTGAGCCCCTTTCCAGCTCCTTCAGCCTCTCCTGGTGCTCCAGACCCTTCCCCATCTCTGTTCCCTTCCCTGGGCACGCTCCAGCCCCTCAATGTCTTCCTTGTGGTGAGGGGAATGCACAGGGGAACACCTTTGTGCTGAGCCGATGGCTCCTGCTGAATCCAGCTGGGATCCACAAACCATGGTGTCCCAAGCCACGGCCCCTTCTCACACCCACACAGGAGAAGTTTTCCTGCACAAACACCATGGCTGTGGACATTTCCTTTTCGGTCCAAGCTTGGCAAGGCACAGGGGGGTCTCCACGGGGTTTGCAAACATCAGCTCAGCACCTACAGCACCTTCCCAATGAGCCAAAGGCCAGGATCAGATCTCTCCTGAGCAGAGGAAAAGGTGATTCCCAAGAGGTGAGAGCTGACCTAACCAAGGAACGTGCTTTAGTCGTAGTCAGAGGAAAGCACATCATCCTTGTCTCTGAATTGGAGATCCCTGGATTTGATGGATGGACCACCTGCTGGCTCAGGAATTACCTGTGTGGTGGCACTCCAGGAGATGCAGTGCTGTTCCTTGGGGTGGTGCTGGGACTGGCACTGCTTGCTGGGGATGTGCACAGCGGGATCCAGGGATGCAGTGGGATCCAGTGCTGATGACACCAGGCTGAGTGCTGCAGTCACACACTGGAGGGAAGGGATGCACCCAGAGGGAGCTGGGCAGGGTGGAGATGAGGGTCTGTGCAAACCTCATGAAGCTCAACAAGGCCAAGTGCAAGGTCCTGCACAAGGGTCAGGCCAATCCCAGACACAGGCTGGGTGGAGATTGGGGTGAAAGCAAAACTGGGAATGTTGGAACTACCTGATCTTTAAGTTCCATTCCAACCATTCTACGATTTTATGGAAAGGTTTCAATATTAGCTGGGCCATGCTGGGAGCATGTGGAAGGTGTGTCAGCCTTTCTCTGGCCAGACACTGCACCTTCCACCTCCCTACCAGATTTTAATGGCATTCACCCCACCACTTCATCTCACTGGCATTTGTGAGAAGCCTTTTATTTTTCAGAGACTCCAGGGATGGTCAAAAATGTCCTTGGAGACCTCATATGAAGCTGTCTAGCCCCAAAATTTGGTTTCTGGATCCCACCTGGACTTAGGCCAGATGCAAAGTCCCCAGTCCTGTTTGAACAGGACTTTCCTGTTCATGCTCAAAGCTGAGCTTTCACAGTCAAGAACTGCATGGTCATCATTTGCAGGATGCTGGGATCCTCCAGGCTGGACAGATGCTGAACAAGGGTTTTTCATAATCACACTGGGGACCTGAGGGTTCCTGTGTTTTCCTTTTTCTGTTGTTTTTTTTTTCTGGTTGTAGCCCTCGGTGACTTAATAACCTCCCCATGTGCCCTGACAAACATGTTCCAGGACATTGCTCATCCCTTCAGCTTGTAAGTTCATGCACATTATGGGATTTGCATACTGTTGTATTTGGTAGCCTTCCCAAAGCAAAGCTTGAGTTCTTGCTTAAGCCTTCAATCCAGCCAGGACTGCTCCACAGTTGTGATTGCTCCCCAAAAACACGTTGACCTTTTGGCTTGCTGCATTAAACTCTCTCCACATTAGTAAAGCCTGGAAGCATCTGGAAGGCAAAGATTAAGCCAAAATGCCCAGGGAAAGCTCAGATCAGCAAAATATGGTGCAGGGAAGGTTTGAGTGGTTTCTGAGTAGTCAGCTGATACAAAACTCAGCACAAGCTTTGGTGAAGTTGCATCAACTGAAAATGTGACCTGGTGCCTTTATGGATTCATTAATATTTACATATCCCAGTGGAATAATCTGAAAAGTGTCAGGAGCAACACAATTTCTAGTATAACTGGTCTATAAGCATGAGGTGAGTGAGGAATAATACAGGAGGTTAAGGGGGGCCAGTTATCAGAATTATTAAAATTGCCTCAAGGGTTTGAGAACAGTCCTGTTCACGGTAAAAATCCCATTTTACTGCAGCCAAAAAGCAGTGGTGTTTTCTGAGGTGTGGTGTTGAACTGCACGGTCATTTCTCATGAGTGAAGAAACCAAAACTGCAAGGAGGAAGGGAAATAAAAACCTGATATCTTGGTGTATTCCCCGCTTGCAAAGCAGTTTGGAAAGTTTGGTTTATGTTTTGGCACAGTGTGGAAAAAGCAGTGGCATCCAGGAAAGCCTCCCCTGCTCCCCTTCCCTGCCCAGCTCTCCCTGGGATGGAAGTTCTCCACAAAAACTCCTCAGTCCTTATAACCATGACATCTCCTGGGTGCTCCCACCCACCAGCCTGAGGCAATGGGCACAGAAGGAAAGTTCATTACCAGTCCCCTTGGCAGGGACCTTAATTAGGGAAGTGAGGAAAACCTGGGGCAGGTTCAAGGTGCACCTTGAGCACTGTCACCGAGTGAGAGGCACAGCCTCGGGGAAAAGGGGATGGAGGCTGGGGACAATGTTTGGTTTACATCCTGAGGACTGAGGACATGACCATCCTGGCATTTTCCTGCCTTACAGCCAGCAGCACCTCTCCCAGTCAAGGAAGAGCAGCTTTACCTGGTGCTGGTCCCACCACTGAGACAGTCGTTAAGTGTAAACCTGCGTTTTCCATTTTTTGGGAGCACACCCAAATTCTGTTTGTCTGGAGCGAAGCCCATGGCTCAGGGCCTGGCTGTGGGGCGCATTGACTGCACAGTACCAGACAGAATATTCCAGGTGCCCCCTGAAACTCAGGTTTGCACAGCTTTCTGTGGTGCCATGGCCCTACCCAAAGACCTGAGGATGACCCCAGTCAGAACTTTTTTGGCTGACCTCAGTGGCCTTGAATCAAGCCTGGTCCTGTCTGCACAGGAGCTCATTTCCTAGCAAAAGAAAACATCTTTGGAGTAAGTCCAAGCCAGACCACAGGGAAGAGGAGGATTTCCTGGCCTTCTGCCATGCCCTCCAGAGAAGATGTTCACAGGACAGATCAAATCCATCCCTCACTGGCCCTTACTCACCGACTTCTCTCTTTCACAGCCACCAGGGAGTCAGCCTTTGTCCACGCCATCGCCTCTGCCGGGGTGGCTTTCGCCGTGACCCGCTCCTGCGCCGAGGGCTCGGCCAACAACTGCGGGTGTGACACGCGCCACAAGGGCTCTCCTGGGGAGGGCTGGAAGTGGGGGGGCTGCAGCGAGGACGTGGAGTTCGGGACCACGGTGTCCCGGGAGTTCGCGGATGCCCGGGAGAACAGGCCCGACGCTCGCTCAGCCATGAACAGGCACAACAACGAAGCTGGAAGGACCGTAAGGATATTTAAGTTTCACCTTTCCCGTTGTTCTTTACTTACCTGACATAATGAATGGTGGGAGGGAATTAAGTGGACTCAAAAGACCTAAATCTGGGCAAATTTACGTCACAAAATGCTAATACCCATCCTGTATAGTTCTATATAGACATGCCTGATCTGTGAAAGCACCACATAAATTCACCCACACAGATCCAAATGCCTGCCTTGGAGTCAGCTGTCCAGATCTCTTTTATAGAGGACGGATCAAGGCAGGTTTCAGATGGGATTTCATCCCATCTTATGAGGATATCTAACCCCAGAAGCTGGGGATGCCCCATTCCTGGAAGTATCCAAGGCCAGGTTGGACAGGGCTTGGAGCAACCTGGTCTAGTGGAAGGTGTCCCTGCCCATTCCAGGGTGGTTGGAACGGAACAATTTTTAAGGTTCCTTCCAACCCAAATCATTCTGCGATTCCATAATTACAGTTATTAACTCAGTTAATAATGTGCTAATTGTGTCTGTTCCCTTCCACTGACTGTGGAGCACCTGAAGTTTGAGTGCCATTGTCCATTCCCCTCCTCTGCAGCCTTGAGGGAGGAGAAGAGCAGGAGAGCTTTTCCCACAGCCCATCTTCTCAACCCTGTTCTGTTTCCCAGGAAATATTTGAACAAAATTAGAGGCAGTATGACTCTGGTACCTCCTGATTAAACTTGGATCATGCCCTGAAGCTGTTTTTACTTCAAACAATTCTGGAACAAAATGTGTTGGGGAAAAGAAAGCACAAAATTGCCTTATACACAATGAATCTTTTCCCTAGATGGAATAATCCCAAAAGGGGGGATATTGCTTTTTTATATATATATATATCTCAAGAATAGCCCATAAATGCCAGAAGAATGAAATTTGTGGGAAACAATTTGTAGAACTGAACCACAAAGCCCTTTTTAACAGAGATTATGCCACAGCTTCTCTGAGATAACAGAGAACAAGTTAATGTGGTCTTGTCCCCTCAGCAGAAGGTCTTGCACATATCCAGGAGAGCGTTTTTGCAGTGAGCTGTAGCAAACACCACAGTTACTGCTGGAACACCTGTCCTCAGGCAGGCTGGGCTTTCTTGAGAGCTCCTGAAGTGGATACTGTGAATTCCCAGTGGTGTTATCCCACCTCACACCACAGCAGAGCTGTTGGAATATAACTTTCGAAAGGGAAATACCACCAGAAACCAAAATTGTCTGCAATGGAGATGACCACAAGCAATAATGTGGTTTCCTGCAGCTCTGGCCTAAATTATCCCAGGTAACCCCAGGGATGGGGCAGTGCTGGTGGCAGTTACTGGGATACGTGGTAGGGAAAAGAGGGCCGGGGAGAAGCTGTGGGGAGGGGAAAGGAGGGATTTCCTTTAAAGTGAGAATCCTTGGAAAAAAACGAGCAAACATCCCTGTGATCCCTGCAGAGGTCTTTTTACTCTAAGTCTTGGTCCTCGGCAATGAGTTCTTCTAGGACATTTTACAGCTGTCAGAGATTAGAGAGCAGATGTCACACCATGACCTGAAATCCCACTGCTGTAGAAAGAACTGGTGTTTTCCATTCTCACCATGCCAGCACCCATGGGACAGCTCTTCCAGGCCTCCACACTCGAGTGTTTCCAGCCAAACCTGAGCCATGGGTGATGTTTCATATTAGTTCCCATAGGAACTCCAAGCCTACCACTCTGCCAGGAGTTTTGATTAAGTTCAGCGTGATTATTCGAACCAAACCTTCTGTGGTTCTCTCTCATGGCTAATTACAACCTGCTCTGCGGTGGGTGATACTCCGTAAATAACACAGGGAAGCACCTGGTGAGCACCAAGGTGCTGATTCATGGCAAATCTCTTGGACTCAGGCTGGCACTCGCCTGTTCACGTACCCAGAAATCTGCTGATCACTCTGAAAATGCAGATTATCAAGCTGTTGCATAAGGTTGTCTCCCACCTCAGAGTACTGGAGGGCAACACCTCTATTTATTTAAACTCATTTTATAAGAGGTAAAAACAAGTAGCAAACTTCTGGGATCAAAAATCACCTTCCAATTTATCCCAGGAAAGTGTTTTGTGTTGAAGCCTGAGCCTTTCAAATCAAAAGTTGGGCTTTTATTTTTTTTTCCTTTGAAATTATTTTAGAAAAGCCATAACCATGGCTTTAAAATAAAAATAAATTCCTTTTCAGTTTCTGAAAGTAGCCACACCAAGGCTTGAACCTTGTTCACTTAAGTAAATACAAAACATATGTAAAGGGTGGAGTTCTGTTCTAGATAGTTTAGACATTTCATATCCCTTTTATTTCCAACAGAAAAGCTGCATTTTTCATTTATGAAGGCATCGCTTGAGTACCTTTCTCTATTCTTTGCTTCTCTGCCCTGATGTGTTTGAATTCTTTTCCTGAGTGACAACACTGCAGTATTCCCACATGAACATTGATAAGACAGTAGTTAATAAGCTCAGAAATCTCCTTGGTGAAAGTTTTTGGTAAATCCTTAAATTTGAGTTGGGAATCAGAACCGGTCACTTCGTAAAGTACAGAACTTTTATGGCTTAGACCCAGCTGTGAGTGGGGGGTTAAGGGGATTTTTGTTAACAAGAGTATAAATATATCTATTAAAACATCCATAATTCCTTGTGAAATGATGGCTAAGTAGCAGAATGTCACAAGTGGTTTAAATACAAGTTAACGTGTTCCTTCTCCCTTGCCTTCCCTCTCTTTTGCAGTCTATCATTGAGCTCATGCACCTCAAGTGCAAGTGCCACGGGCTCTCGGGCAGCTGCGAAGTGAAGACCTGCTGGTGGTCCCAGCCAGACTTCAGGGTCATCGGCGACTACCTCAAGGACAAGTACGACAGCGCCTCAGAAATGGTGGTGGAGAAACACCGGGAATCCCGCGGCTGGGTCGAGACCCTCCGGCCCAAATACAACTTCTTCAAGGCCCCAACTGAGAAGGACCTGGTTTACTACGAGAACTCACCAAACTTTTGTGAGCCCAACCCTGAGACAGGCTCCTTTGGGACCCGCGACAGGATCTGCAACGTCACCTCCCACGGGATTGACGGTTGCGACCTTTTGTGCTGCGGCCGCGGGCACAACACGAGGACTGAGAAACGGAAAGAGAAATGTCACTGTATCTTCCACTGGTGCTGCTACGTCCGCTGCCAGGAGTGCATACGAGTCTACGACGTCCACACGTGCAAATAAAGCAGGCAAAACCCTTCGCCGGGCTCCGAGTGGAGAAATGGATTTTGAGCCTACTTCCTCTGAGGTTGCAGACGTGAGAGAAGTCTACTTTTTTGATATTAAAAGAATAAAAACTGGACAAAAAAAAAATAATAATTAAAATTTAAAAGGCTAAAACTGGTTGGATAGAATAGGTCTAATGACTTCTGGGCTATCCCGAGGTACATCTGGCAGTCACACAAGTCCTGCCCCAACGCCAATGCCTCCAGCAGGAGAACAGCTTTTTCCACCAGCCCTCAACACCGAGCTGGATAAAAGAGCATTAGCAAAAGCATGGATTTGCTTTGCTCTCACCCACCTGAAGTGACTCGTGTGATTAAGTGTCCTTTGAAAGACTTGCATCTTCCTAAGCATCTCCTTTTCCCTCAGCCAGGCAGAGGCTGTGTTGAAGAGCAGCACTGAGCTTTCAGAGATCTCTCTGCAAACCCAAATGGCCAGACTGTGTAATATGAGCAACAGCAGCAAGAGAAATAAAAGCAGATAAATTAAGGATTTTTTAAACAAAGAACGTGACTACTTCTTTTGCCTTGGAACCAGGGAAGTCTACAAATATCTTAGAGAGCTGGAGAGTGGGCAAGCTCTTGATGTGAACTTTTTAGCATAGTAGCTTCTGCCAGATTTGACATAGGATTCTGTGACATCTTTAGAAAGGGAAGGAGGGAGAAGAGGAGGGAGAGAAAGAGAAGAAACTGCTGATGACTTCCTGTAAATGCTCTGTTGTCACATAGGTGATGTGCACAGTACAGAAAAGTTCAGTGTCTTGTGTGTGAAGAGGGCTCAGTGTGTGCTTTGAGAAGGACACTGTCCCACAACTGGGAATGCTGCTCCAGCTCTCCAGCCTGGGACGTGGCTCAGCCAATGAGTTTTCCTTGGAAATACACGGTGCAGTGAGTCCCCTGGGGCTGGACACTCACTCCTGAGCTCAGGACATCCATCTCTTCAGCACCCCAGGGAAAGGATGGAAAGGGAGAGCATTCACCCTTCCCACCTCGTTGGGGAGTTTCGTCGCCAGCAGTGGAAAGTGCACTTAGTTCATCCACTCTCTGCACCTGATGCAGGCTTCCTGGGCACTTGGCAACATCCTGAGCCCACAGGTCTGGTGGGAACATGGATCTGAAGGACTCATTGTCACCCATTAATTTACATGAGGGTGAACCAACCCACCGTCACCACCACACCCCACAAGCTGGAGCAGCCTCAGACTCAAGCCAAACCTTGTTCCACACCCATTTCCTACAGCCATTCCCACCTATAAAAGTGGCACAGATTAAAATGGACAAACCCCAGATTCTGAACCAGCCCAGAGTTTGGATAAGTTTGGACACAGAGCCAAATCCCAGCTTTGCAGTGCTGGACCATCTCTGCTGCTCACACCTGACTCACCATCTTTGCATGTTGCTCTGCTTCCAGTTCCAGATCAGGATCGCAGTTTACAGAAACAGGTCTCACCTCCTCCATGGTCATCAGGACTTCCTTCAGGGTATCAGGCAGGAGCTCAGCCCATCACCTTGGCATTTACAGCACTGTAACCCTGCTTGGCTTGTTCCTGATCAATACTGGGATAAATGAAGGGTGACCCAAGCATGGAGTCGCAGCCTGTTTTAGCCCCAGATGCACTTGCCCTGTGTCCTCTTTGCCTTTCCCCTGCTTTTGGGTTCCTAGCCTGGAAAAAGGACAATGGATCAGTGCTTATTCTGTCTCTTCAGTCCAGGAAGGGAAACAGGGCATGAGTAAATTCCTTTTTCATGGCAATGTAATCATGGCTGTTGGCTGGTTCACTCCTGGAAATCTTTGTAGAGAAACCAGAGTGCTCCTCTCTGCATGTCAGCCTTTTCCCAGGAACCAAAGGAGGGAGTACACAGAAGAGGAAGAAGGGAACAAGCAGAGCTTAATCCCATCAGAGAGAAAACAGGAGGAAATGATGCCTCCGAGGACTGACTCTGAGTCACGGTGTCTCCTGGGACTATTCCTAGGCTGGTGCAGTTTATGCATCACCCATTTGTCTCAGGGCTGTGCCCAAGGGCACAAGCAAGATTTGCTTATTGATGGAGGCACTTCTATCAGTGCTTTGCAAAAAAAAAAAAAAAAAAAAAAAAAAAAAATGCAGTGAAATGAAAACAGAAGAGAGAGAAGGAGAAAAAAGATCAAGAGAAGCAAAGAAAAATATGGGGAGAAAATCCCCATACCTGTGATATCTGTCCATACACTGCACCCCACTGATGGCCACACACCAAGTGGAGAAGGCAACAGTTCACTGATAACTTCAATAAAGGTCAATTAATGGATGCATGACTGATTTTCATAGTGCAGTCTTGGAGAAAAGGAAAACTTAGTCATGGGAAGTAGAGAAGGAAGCCACTGCAGTGGGAGGTTGCACCTGTAACCAACATCAAGAAAGCAAATGCTCCAGGAAGCCAGGTGTGGGGTGGAAGACATTGATGAATTGGAGAGGATGGGATAAGGGAAGAAACACCTGATTTATTTAATATGAGGCAGTGCAAGCAGCCACAGTGAGAGATGTCAGACACGTCCTACCAGGAACTTCTGTCAATAAATGGTGACCCAACAGTGAAAATTCAAATAATTGCAGGCCATGATCCCTTCAATCCATTGATTTCAGTGGGGTTCACATTGACTTCACAACTGGCTTTACCCTAAGATTTTTAGTCCAAGTGGTTTCAAACTCCTTCTCTTATGCCACACCAGTGAAGAAATGGGTCGAAGGATTTGGCTTCCATGCATGGGAGCTGGAATCTGACCCCAGCCCATCCACAGCATGTTCACATCCACCATTTCTGCTTTTGCACCAGAACAAGCCCAGCATCACCACCAGGCGAAGCTTTTTGGGAAGCAGGGGGAAAAAATATTGAAACTGGAAATTCGCTGAGTAATTGCTTCTAGAGGTGAACCAATTTTGACTGGAACAGTGGGATTTATTTCATCTGGTCTAAGCTATTCATCTAATTTTCTGCTGGGATCGATGGCAAGAAACAAATCCAGGAGGTGATTCATTGTACTTAGGATGGTTAAATGTTTGGTTAAATTCCCTCTGGGTGTGTCTCTGACTTCAGCTGCTGAGCTCAGAGTAGATGATGAGCTCTTCCATGGGTCCAGACTGATGATGTGAAGTCCACCATGAGTCAAGGAGGTGAAGCTACAAGCTGATCATCACCTGAGATGGGCTGGAAGTTGTGCTCCTTCCCTCCAAGCTGGGGTCAGGCTTGAACCAGCTCAGTGGTTGTGGGGAGGACTCCCCCCTCCCCACATTCAGGGGGTTTTTAATGAAGCCTATGGGTACTTGTTTGGGTTTGTCATGTAATTAATCATCTCTGTGATGATACCATGTAAGGGGCTGAGCAGCTGCTACTAAAGTCACTGAAAAACGCCTGCGTGAATTCTGTTCCTCACCCCAAGCACCCCCAGGGGTTCCAGTCCTGGGTCTGACTCTGCCCATCCCTGAGGGGGGAAAAGAGCCTGTGAGGGGTCTGGGAGCTGGGCCTGTGTCTGACCCCATGGTTTTGGAGAGGGGACTTGGGCCATTGTTCACTGCTACACGTGAATTCGGGAGGTGTCTTTGGAAAACTGAGATCCCTCTCCACTGCCTACACCGGGTGTCTCAAATCAGGCTTTCCACTGCACTGGTGAGAAAAATTTAGTCAGTGATGAGTGAGGTGCCATCCTGCCCTAGAGGAGATGGTCTAAATACCACCCAGAGCTGCCTTCCGCTTCAGGTTCTCCTGTGAAAACTGTAGGACCTGACTTATGGAAGGGTCTTGGCATTTCCCTCAATAATAGAAACATCTGGTGACATATTACAGGTGCCCTACAATGTTCTCTTGGGGTCCAGATGTTGTTTCAATGGTTCAAGACCCACAGAAATCATAAACCTGGGCAGTCAGAGACCACAGGGTGTCCAAAATGACCCAAGATGTCTTCATGTAGGCAGCTGAATTGGGCACTTCTCTGGAAACGGTTCTGTCAAACCTTCTCCCCCATCTTGGTGTAATGCTCCAGTTTATAATCAAAATGAACATATCATTGATTTCCCACAAATGGGAGCTGGCCATCTTCACCCCTGTGCTCCCTGGTGTCCTTCCCTTCAGTGTCCCCCAGTGAGGATTGTCCTCAGCAGATGGTTTGTACCAGGGGTGTGTCTGGCAGGACCGGGGAAAAGGGACAAGATGTCACCCAACAAAGTAACAAATGTTACTTTAAGATGTAAAAAATAAAAGTAAAAAAGGACCATAATTCCATCCTCTCACATGCTGCTATCCAACCTCTCCTTTAACTGAACAGATGGGCCGGATGGGCCCCATCAGTTCCACATCCAACTCATTAAAGATAGTGGAGTGACCTGCGAGGGGTGAATTTGGCCTCATCTCTTTTCTTTCTATGAAAGAAATGGAAATTTTAGGAGTTTTGGTTGATTTTGTTTTGTTTTGTTTTTTTTTTTCTTGGTTTGGTTTAGTTTTAGAATTTGGGGGCTTCTCTTTCTCAGAGAAAATGAAAATAAGGGGAGGGAAGTGCATGATATTTTTGTTGCTTGACCCTGGTGTATCTCTCTCAGCTGAGTATCATGCCCAGCACCGACAGTCTTCTCCAAAGCATTTTGAAGTCTCCAGAATAGCTTCCACTCCTTATGGGAAGCTTCATGTGCAGAACTAAAGCAGTCGGGATTTAATTATTGGAGGGGATTGCAGAGACAGCCACACCACAAAATCCTACACGGCACAGAAATCCCTGAGTCAGCACCGACCACGTCAGCCCTGCAGTGCTGTCGTCTAAGCTGAGCATTGCAGGTTTTCTGTATTAACAAACCTCAGAAAACAATTTATTCTGCCTCTCAATCTCAAATATTTTTGGTATTTTCATTGCATTCAGATATATTGCCACAGAAATGGTCATGGGTTATGTGACATTTGTCACTTGTGTTCATTTTCTTATCATGCCCCCATCCTTAAATTCATATGCAGGAGAAACACTCTGAGCTTTGGGTCACTTCTTTTTTCAGCTTCAAAGATTGGTTTCAGTGCTGACCATCTGATGTTTGATGTTGTTGGGGATATTCAGGATTGCAGCACGAGCACTCTGCAGGAGCTGGGAGTTGTGAATCCAGTCCCGGGATCTGCACTATGGAAATGACTCCAGACTTCCCTTGATGCTTTAACAAAATCCATTTGGGAAGATGAAAGCAGGGCAATGAAAGGCACCAAATCCAGCTGCCCTGCAGATATCAGCCACTGCGCCTGCCTCCATGGGCTGCCCACAGGGAAACAACTCCTGGCTCTTCCAGAGTCCTTCTCCAGGGCTGAGGCTGCAGGGAAGGGATCACCCTGCTGGCAGTGGCACGGTGAGGGGGATGTTTGCTCAGATCTGTCACTCCTGAGCTCAAGCAGCTGTTGGGATGAGAAGATGTAAGAGAGTGTTGGATGGTGGGAGAGAAAGTGGGCAGGAGGAGATCTCATCTCTTCTTTATACCTATAGTTTCTTATTTTCTGCCTCCCTCCAAGCTAAATCTTGTCTGTTTTAGCGGTGGCTTCTCACTATGCGAGTATCTAATTTTTTCAGATTTCCCCTCTCTCACTGGAAGCAGCAGTAGCATCTGGCTGAATTGTTTTATTCATGGCTTAGCCCTTCCATCCTCCAGTTTCCTGCCTTCCCTTGTGTTCTCCAGTGAATTTCCTGATCTGCAGCTCCTCACCCCCCAGCTCAGGTCCCCGTTAACAGCTGTGGGGTGCAGATTCCTCAGTTTGATGGGAAATGGAAGCTCCTCTGGCCTCCATTTCACAAAAGGGGTGTTTAGTCCTCACTCCTGCCCTTCCCAGTGTCTTCATGGGCTTGGGCAATGCCCCCACTTTGCTGCATTTTCCAGAGTGTCTTTGGTGCATCTCCACCTTGGAGGAGGAGATTTTTTTCCTTTCTCAAGCACGAACAAGAGGCCAGGAGTCAATTCCCAGGCAGTGGTACCTACAGTGGGATTTGGAATACAAAGTGAGATGCTTAAAGGCAGGTATCTACATGTGTGCTAGGTGCTTAAAGCCCCATACAAGCCAAATTATGGGCTCCATTTGCCTAAACTTAGCGTTTAGGGCTGAACTAAATTATTGAAATAGGTGTCTAGAGCCATCTGGGATGCTCCAGGGTACCCCCCTGGCTCCTAAAAGCCACTCTGGAAGAATGTGGGCTTCCCTTAAATCTCAGGGCATATCTGACGAATCCATGCAGCTGTTTTTCCATCAGAGATGGGTGTTTAGATGTCTGACTCCCATGCAGACACAGGCTTGTGGACATCCACAAGTGTGTGTCTGCATCCATGAGCAGGATCCCACTCCAGATTCCAAACTCTCTTCAGATTCTCTGAGGTGGGAAACTGTTCATGGTCTCAATTCTCTTCTCACTTAAGCCAAAAAAAATCAGGTACAAGTGTCTCAAAGGGAGCAGAAGGCGGACCTGTGATGTAAAAATAACGATTTGAATTCACTTTACTGCCTGGTTTGTCACGGCTTTGACCCCAAGGGAGCATCTCTGATCTTGTTGAGGATCACATAATGGAAATGGATAAGTCCCACCAAGTCATCCTCAGGAAGAATCCTGCTCTTAGGTGAACAACACCCAGACAAAGTTCTTGAAGCCACAAGGGTCTTTTCCACATGACCTCCTCCTCTGTCTCTGTAGACCTTTTCTTACACATATTCTGCACGCCAAGGGAGGTCTTGGACAGCCCTGCATGGAAGTGGGGAAAGTGTGAGGAGAAGCTTTCCCCCTTTCCCTTTCTTTTCCAAGTTTCTTATTATTTATTAGTATTTATTTATTTCTCTCCATTCATTCCACTCCACCAAAAATCCTGAAGGCAGGCCTGCTGCAGACACTCAGCTGAGTGTCACCCACGGTTTTGAGGGATGGCACCACGGTGTCAGAGCTCCTTCCCAACACTTGCCACCTGCTGCTACACCTTGGAAAGCACAAGAGGTCTGAGTCTTTTCAAGTCAGCCTCCCAAAAACTCCGAAAGACTTCTGTACAGATAAAATCCTCTGGTGTAGTCCTGGTTGTCCCACTGCC